ATCCTATAACTTGGCAGGTATACCGTAATTATCGTATTGTAGGGATTAGCGCCTCGTATTGATTGGTAAGTATTGTTAACTGATAGGCGCTTTAGATGAGACATATACTTACTTTTAAGAATTTATTAGGTTTCTCATTCGGGCTGTTGGGCATTTATTACAGAAATAGAGTGATTAATGTCATTTGAAGAACTAGTCATTTTAATAGCGCAATTTGAGACATTTGAAAATTTAATGATCAAGATTTTGGGAATAATAAAAGAGAAATTTTCTAGACTTAATTCAAGACGAAAAAATCATTTAAATTCATTTTAAAAATTAACAAGAATCAGTGCGGTATGATTTATATCCCAGTTAACAAACGTAATGCCCCTGGATTCAAAGCATTTTTTTAATGTGAAAAATTGAAGGAAAAGTTTTGATTTAAAGTGGTTGATAGATTGAAAAAAAATTAATCACAATGAAACTAACACTTTTTTGGCGGCGCATTGTATAAAACTTAAAATAATCAGTGTTAGTGGGATAATATTACTGAATATTGATAGGGTAGAAGTGATTATCATAATAAGAGCCATACTGTCTTCTCGAATAGTTCTCTTTTAGAATATGTCCTGATAAAATTAGATTGTGATTAATTGATTATTTAGTACAGAAGAGAAATGTCTTTCCGGTTTGGTTTTCCTTCGAGAAAACTTCTCTGAATTGATGAAATCCTGAAGATGATGAGTGGAGAGAAGAGGAAGAACCAACCAGCTATGAGCAATCCTTGAGTGAGAAAATACCACAACTATCATATTCAAACTCTTCATATACGTATTTTCATGCTATCAATAGAATAGCAACCAAATTCGCTATAAATAGTCTCCGGTATCTTTCAGAAATTCATTGTTTTAATATGAAATTAGCTGGAGTGGTAAGCCAATTCAACAAGAGCTATTCATGAATCCTTATGCTATAGCTATAGCTATAGCTATAAGAGCGGGTAATTCAATCTTTCACATTTCTTATTCAATGCTTACTGCTACAAGTCTGAAAACGGTTGAATGTAATTTGAAAATGATAATTTGACGCAAAAATAAAAAATATTCAAATGGCAATCAATTCATTGCAATTTAACGGTTTCTAATATATTCATTTGAAGATGATAAAATTGACTTCGAAGATCATTTGTATCTTTCCTGAACAGAAATGAATTGAAAATTAGCTAATGCTAAGACATTTTCACAAAAGTCCCAAAAGCATCAATCAATAGAAGGATTTTTTGGAGAGCTATCATAATCGTTAGTATAATGATTATATTAATTTCAGAAATTGATAGTAATAGCATATAATATCCAAAACAAATATTACATTCTCTAATTTGATTTGACTTAAATATAATGTAACAATAATCAATCAATTGAAAATATCTGCTAGAGACGTACACGTCAACGTGAAAAAACTTAAATTTAGACATTTAAGCTATTAAACAGATTACTTCATGAAAGATTTTATAATGTTGAAAGCGAAGACGGATGATATGTTTTGTTGGGAAATTATTTTTGTTTTTAAATATTACAAAATTTTTCTCCTAAGAATTCTATGAAAAGTATTTATTTTACAGAACGATATCACAATTGAATTAATGACATTTGCTGATAACATCAGTCTGCTATGGCTATACGGAATTTTCAATTTAATACTATTTTCATCCAAATTTTATGTTGATCGTTTAATCTAATCGTATCTCTGCATGTATCATCCATATTTGCAAATTTGTTGCTTTCATATAGTATAATTTCATCAGTTTGATAATTTTATAGCTTTAATCAGAAAAATTAAAATATAACTTCCATCAATGATTCTTTCATTGGATAGAACATTAAATAAATTTCAGTAGCAGATATGAAAAAAATCCTGCTAGTAAAGCATTCAGGTAAAATATGGTAACAAAATATAAATATTATGAGGATATATATAACCGCTGAATTGATTATAATTAGGCACTGAGATTTTTTTAATGAATAGTTTGCATTTTGTTAAAAGTACGATTACAGTATATTTTATTTATGTATTTTTCTCCAACAGATTTAATTGAAAAAAATTATTTCAAACAACAGTAATATCTCATGCAATCTTTTACATTTTTTTCACGTGCTAATTATCAATGAATCCACTGATAAGCAGTTTATCATAAATGCATCCGTGATCATATTGCACACTGCCACCCATGTAAATGCCTTAAGAATTTAAATATTATTTAGCACAGATTTAAAATGAACCTGAACATTTGACATAACAAATCTCTTTTACATATTCAATAATCATGCAATAGCAAATACATTAACTTTTTAGTTGAATTATTTTTGCATTCATGCATAATTAGATAAAAAGATAATTAAACAGTAAGGATGAAATTTATTTGAAAAAGTGATTGAAATGAGTGAAAAAAAAGGAAGAAAAAAAAATAATGTGATTTTTTTATCATAAATATTAACAATGATTAAACTTCGATATAATATGGCAGAAAGATAAGCTGATGTCACAAGATAAGCTGTCAATAAGCCATATGGGACACTGAACCACATCAATCTGCTTATCTGCAATTTACAATTCAATAATCAAGAAAACTTATTTATCAATATTTCTTAACCTTACATATTGATATCATCCTATACTTTTTTTTTTCATTCTCAATTCTAAAGCGTAAAAAATATATCGTACTAAAGTTCATTATGTTTAGCGTACATATTATTTGCTAATTATAATAAATTTTCTTTTAAAATGTAACTTCAAATATAATTTAAAAATAGCTGAAAAAACTTATGCAATGGATATGATTTTTTTCTTTACTATCTTCTCGAATGAACCGTAGTAGCGAATCATTGTTCGGATTGTAAACAAAAATTAATTTTTAGGATTAGATTGAAAGGAATTTTAAAAAAAAAATTAACTGTGTAGAGAAATTAATAATAACCCAAATATATTTTTCGTGTAATCCAGCAAAGACATCTGCTACAGCAATAAATGTCCAAATGACCAGAAGTATAAGTAAGCCGAGAGCAATTGCAGGCATAAAAATATGTCCATCATATTTTGCATTTGCGAGAACAATAATTGCATTTATTGTCGAAATTAAGCTCGTTATCTACTTATCATATCACATCACACAATGATTTTAACATTTCTCATTCTCTAATTATATCTTATTTCGAATATCTAAACTCCTCACTGCTATTTTTTTGAAAATTCAAAATTTTCTTTCATAAATTAAGAGAATATATCTTTCATATGTGTTATCATATCATTAAAAGATGAATATTAGTGATAATAGGAAGTAAAAATGAAGCATACAGCAGCAAATGCACGCATAGTAAGGATGGAAATACCAAAACCGTTCATAATTTAAAAATCTTCCAACAATGAATCAGAAACCGCAGCACGCAAAAGCTACAACTACTGAAAATGCTTGGCACAACAACGATTTGCTAATTTTACATAAATTTACACTTCAAAGCAAATAGTTTTCAACATTATGAATAATTTCGAAAAGTTTGAATTTATAATATTTTGCAGCAGCTTTTATTTTCTGGATCGTTTAATTATGTAAACCAAATTTCAAAGCTAACTTTTGAATCTTGCAAATGTATAGTTCCAATAAAACATATTTCAATTCCAGAGATTTTTAACAAAAAAAAGAAAAATACCATCATTATGATGATTTCATTTGAAATTTCTCGAAACTGAAAGATTATTTGGTCATCAAATACAATTTTTTTTGTTTTGATATAACATCGGGAAAAGACTTATGATATTAGCTATTACGAATAAAATAAACAAACAAGACACTAAATTACTCCAATAAAATTGGATGCAAAATTATGTAATGAAATTGGTACTTTTCCAGGTGCATGCTTCATTACCAATCAATTTCACAATATATTCAATAATGTTTTGTCTATTTCGAAGTTTGCATAAATTTGCCTTTTTTACTGGTTAACAGTTGATCGATGTATTGTATTAGCGTATATTTTGCACCGATGCATTCATACCCCTTAGCTATAGTTAACTTTGAATGATAATATTTTTTGATTTTGATTAACTGATTTTTTCTTTTTCAACTCTATAGTTGTGAAAGAAAAATATGTTGAAGTTTGTAACAGTAATTGTTAACAAAAATCAGCAGTTGTTATATGCTTATGATAAACATGAGGTTTTCTTTTAAAAAGCACCGAAATGCTCTGAAATATCGATGAATGATAAAACTGTATGGATCGAATGTTTTGCAATCCAAAAATACATCCTACTTCAATTGACTTATTGCTTTTATTACAAAATATAATTGAGAGAATATAAGTCAAACTATATTTGGCGTATATCATGGGCATATATAAACAGGGTGATAGCACATTGAATAAGAATACAAATAATTCGAAAGTTAATAAATAAGAAAGACCATAAAGAAATGGCATTTCTTTTTTTTTCTTATTGTAAATTATTTATAAAAAATATACTACAACAGGAAATTTTTTTCTTTTT